AAATAATTCAAACAACATTACATAGGATAACGATTTTTAGATGATTTTCTTGGCCAGGGCTTCTGGCAAGCCACTTTGACGCTGTTGAGGGTTATGTTTTTGCAGCCACAATAGGAAGAGGAAAAGGCTATGGTTCCAAGTGGAAAGGCAGGCCTCGCTGTAGGGTGCCGAATTCCAGGGGAGGATGTTCCCCAGAGGTGAGCTGTTTGTCAACTTGGAGAGTTGGGGGGGTGGGTGTTGGGGAGGAGAGAAAGACAAAGAAGTCGAGGATCATAACCCGGAAGACCCCCTGGAAGTGGGACCAAGTTCCTGGTAGAGCCTTCCTTCCTCCTTCCTCCGGGGAGGTGGCAGTGTCCTGGGTTGTGTTTGGGTTGTGAGGAAGGCAAGAGGGCTCTGAAGGCTGAAGGCAAATGTCAATTTCCTCATAGTTGCTCCACACCTAGGAAAACAAGAGCTGGTTAAGAATATCTTAATACCCTGTTGGTGAAAGGAATCTTAGCACCTAAGCTCCAAGGTGTGGGCCAGGGGGATTCCCAGTTATCTACCAGGGACAGATCACCTAACCAAGTGAATCAAATTGGGAAATTCACTTGTAAAAGTGCTCCCTTCCTCCCAAAAAGAGCTACAACAAGATTGCAACAGAATACAGTTGTACTTCCCAAAAGAGACTTTTTGGTGTCTCAAGGACCATGTCATCACACACTTCCATAGCTCCTAGTAACATTTCTTTAGAGAGCATCAACTAGGTTATTATTTACAACCAGCACCAGCCAGCCTAGGGTCTTCAGCTCCTTCACAAACCTGTAATGAGTTTCATTGAGGGTGGGGTGGGGGAGGAGGGTGGTGCTTTGTGTTGAGGGAGGGAGAGCAAACTGAATGCTCTGAGAACTAGAAGGAGCTGTCTACTTCACCCTGTTAAAGTGTTGGTGACCTTTCTGACCTCTTACAAGAGATGGTTGGTTCTGCAACAAACCTCCACCTCTGATTTCTTGATCAAGGCCTTCAATCTCTGTCCTAAATACACAATCTTGGCTAGGAGCCAGAGTAAATAGTCCAAGGATGTTCTCAAGGAAGAAATAGGAATTACTGCCTTAGGATAAGAAAAAAAAGATTTTTTTCTCTGTTGTAAAGCAAAGCATTTCAGAAAGTCTCCAGGGTAAGTTTTTCTCAATTACTCTAATCCAGATCTCTCGCTGGGTTCGGATGCACTTGAAAAGGCGATCTCTCCACCCTAAGGTCAGATCTCAGCAGGCAGCAACACACGTTCACCCTATTCCACTCAGCACGCAAAAGGCATCTCCTTTTAAAGCATTTGGGACATAATCCAGAAGGAGAATCTGAGAAAGGTCCCCCATGAGCAGTTGCTGAGAAAGAATCAACCGCGGGCACCTCCGCGCCAGTGGTAGGACAACCACTTTCCTGCTCTGCTCTCTACCAGTAGCTATGAGGCACAGCTGCTAAAAGTGTGCTTTGCACATAGGAAGCCCTTGGGACACCTGATTTCTGTCAAGGCTTGAATCTGGAGGAAGGCAGAATGGGGGGTCCTACGCACCCGGAGCCCGCGGGGCCAACCACTCTAGAACCTCGGCCCCCCGATTTTTGCGATATCCTTCCCTCTAAGGATGAGCATTTACGTCCTGGGGCAAAACCAACTACCTCTCCATGGAGCGTGGCGATCTCCAAGTCCGGAGTGCTGGAAGGGGCACCTCTGTGTGAAATTTCCAACAGAAGCCAACAAACGGCGCTGTTGCCGCGCCCTGGGTCCTGGAAACCCCAGGGCCGGCCCCTGTTGGAGGGAACCTGCGTTCTCTTGGGCTGAAGGGGGGCGGGGGAGGGAGGGATCAGAAGGGGCTCTTGGCCGCGTTCCCAACCTGGCGCCCAGGACTCTATGCTGCCCACTGGCTCCTGGAGGTCCCGAAGAGCAAGAGAGCTGCCGAGCACGCTCTCCAGGAAAGGTTGGAAAAGACTGGTCCTGGATCCGCAGTGTCCCTCTGCTTTCTTCGCTTGGTGCAGGGTGCATGTCAGAGACACTAGTTGGTGCTCCGTAGGTCCCCTTGCCTCCCTGCAGCCTCTGCTTGAACCGACACTTCTCCTGACTCCCAGCGAAGGTCCCGCCTCTGGGTTGCAATGCTGGTGGGCCGAGAGAACTGTTTCCTTCTAGCCTTCCCTCAACTCCCCACGCCGCGCAACGGTAACCTTGCTTGGCTATTGAAATGCTAGTTTGGGTTGAGGATGTTTCCCGGGAAATGTTTCCAAGGAAATTCGGCTTGACTCTTACTTGAGGCTGTGCACACCATTGCAGAGCCTCCAGGCAGAGACAGGTTTTTTGGAAGCCAGGAGTGTGGGAAAGGGTGTCGTAACTGGCAGAAGGATGTAGTGTGCAAATGAGCTCACCTAAGCCTTGGGCAAGGCGCTATCAAATGACAAATGGCTGGTGGCAGTGACTAGATCTCAGATAATCTGCTGCCGAGAGGAGTTGGGTCCCAGTACCACATCCCTTGCCCGGGGAAATATGCAGCCCAGGCGCTGTCGCCACAACGAGGTCCTCAAACTTGGAAAGAATCCTGACATCTGTCAGGCTACTGGACGCCAGGCCGCGCGTCGGTTGGGTGGTTTCCTAAAACGCGCTTCACTTAGCAACAGCCTCAGAGGCCCAGAGAACCCAAGAGGGCATCTGAAAAAGGCGGCAAGAGGGCAAGACAAGTGGGTTTGTCTAGGAAAACTTGACTGTCAGAAAACAGGTGCAGGTGGGGATTGCGGAATCATTCCGTTTTCTGAGACGCGCCTTTCACTCCGTGTCAGCTTAAGTGTGCACACCCGTGCACGTGCTTGCGTGCCTGCACACAAAAGCGCGCGCGCGCGGACACACACACACACAATTAAAACCCACACACAGAACCATTCCAGTTTACTTTAAAACCTCATACCCGTACACCCATTCAAATGATCGCAGCCCTTGGCTGTGGACGTTTGCTTCCTTCTATCCTGATGAACAAGAAGACCTGGACCAGATGGAACCCAAACTTAAAGGGCAAGTTTTGAGACCCAAGCTTCCAGGAGATAATGCCGGGTGGGAGCCAGGATTCTGGTGCCAGCGGTCTGCCATCCCCAGAGGGGGCTGGCCTGCAATTCATGCAGGAAAAGGGGAAGTTCCCAGTGGCATGAAGGCAGGCGGTGGAGGATCGCCTGGTCTTGCATTAGCGCGAAGACACTAAAAGCCTGGGGTTTTGTTTCTATTTCACACTTTGGGTTTAAGTCTTTCTTTTTAGTTCCCCACCTTTCCACAGGCTGGGGCGGGGGCGGGGCGCCCACATGCACAGACACCTTATTTCAGTCTCTGCCACTTCTGCCCGGCTGGTTTCTCCTTTCCACCCATCGCCTGGGGCTGCTCTGGGAGTTTCAAACGCTTGCCACTCGCTTGGGTTGGCAAAGGCGATTGTTGGGGTTCCCTCTCCCTGCAGCCGGGTTTCCGGGCCAATACTTTTTGGCAGACAACCCCACAAACAGGTGAGTATCCTGCTCCGAGTCTGGTAGTTCCGGTCAGGAAGGCTGTAAAACAAACAAGGAGAAGGATGGAATCCGTTAGCAGAGTCCGCTTCCCGGGGAGGTGGCGCGGCTGCGCGGCGACAGCAGCACTCAGTGGTCCTGGCAGGTGCGCGGCCACTGGAGGGGCCCTGTGGTCCGCTCGAGGACCGCCTCGGCTCCTCTCCGGCCACCGTCCCCCACTCCCACCCCTCCAAGAAACTTTTCTTTCACTTGGAGAGGCTCGGTGTTGCCATGAAAACGGATTTTCCAAGGGGCCTGACCCTCCCCCTCAGGGGCATCGGACTGGAAAACCGAAATGGCCAGAGAGCAGAGACAAAAAGGGGCCGCTAAGCGGGGGCCTGGAGCGAGAGAGCCAAAGCCAGTACACCCCCTCTGCCCCCACCCACACCACTGCCCGTGAGCGCCTGGGCTCTGCACGTGCAGCTGTCTGCTCTCATTCACAACCAACCTTCGCGCCTGTGCGCTCCGCCGTCCCGAAGCTTGTCTCCCGCGCACGGTCCCCGACCCCTGCTCTGTCCGCTTGGACAGGGGCTAATTCCAGCGAGGGCTTCTCGGAGCCACAGCCCAGCGTAGCTCGCTTGCACCCTGAGCCCCAAGCCCGCCAGGATGTTGGCGATGCCCAGTGTCCAAGCGCTGGCAGCAGAAGCGGTTTGAGGACCTTTGCGCAGACTGCGCAAAGCTTTGCAAGGTGGCCCCGGGCACCGGTGGTCCCGGATAGGGCTGCAAAGTTGTTGATTGAACCCCATGGGCGCCCTTTTGCCCCCTCTCCCCCCAGTCCTGCTCGTGCGTCCCCTCCCCCTCTGTCACCTCCTAGAGTTTCGTTCTTTCAAACTTTTTGAGACCCTAATTGGTGGTCTCTGAGTGGCTCTCCGAGACTCCCGCCTCCAGAATAACTCTCATCACGTCACCGGGCCCAAGAGGGGCGTGGAGGTGAACGAAAGGGCTCCCCGAACTTTTTTTCCTGTGGGGGACGATCGGGGGCTCCGTGGTGATTGGCCAGAGTGCATCACAGCAAACCTGTCAATCACGGGGGCTCCCGCAGGCAAGGGGCGGACCGAGCCCAACCCTAGGGGAATCGGAGCAGGTATATAAGGGGCCTGGCGAGTGCCCGGCCAGACAGCGAATGCGACCAGCTCCTGGCAAAGCATCAGGTGAGAGTGGCCTGCGGGTTCCTGTAGACCTGGCGCGGAGCGCTT